AAATTTGCGGGCGCGCGAGAATCAAATCGAGCCTAGTGAAAGGCGTATCCTGACCGGAGTCGTATGGAAAGGAGAGGCAAAGGGAGGCAAGACAAGATGGCCGTCTCGGATCTTCAAGGCATGCTTTCGGGCATGGAGCCGACGCTTCACGTCGAGCCATACGCCTACCTCATCTTTTCCAACGAATCACCTCCCTCTTTTCCCTTGCTGGGGCCCGGGGCAACTGCCATCATTCCGTTTGCTCAGATCACAGAAGATGAAGAAGGAACGACGTTGATCGTGCGTCTAGCAGAAGCTGAAGCTTTGAATCGCAGGCCTGATTTCGTAGTGAGACGCATCACGCTCAAGATTCACTCGGCTCTGCAAGGTGTGGGATTGACCGCTGCTGTATCTGCTCGGCTCACCCAGCTCGGCATCTCGTGCAACGTGATTGCGGCAGGCAAACACGATCATCTGTTTGTGGATGTGGAAAGAGGAGAGGATGCTTTGGAAGCGTTGAGACGGCTTTCCCAAGAGGCGAGAGAGGGATGAAGCCAAAAAGGCTTTGAAAAGGAGAGGGGGGGAAAGATCTTCGGTAGGATTATTGGTGCACCCAACCTCCGTCCAACGACCAACACTTGGAAGTTATGTATGAATTGGTCAGCAGCAATAAGACCTGCCCAGGTAGTGGAGGTCGTAATCAGCAGGATTCAAAAGAGGGCAACATTGGCACACCTATCCACGCAATCGGCACGACTCTGGCTACTTTATTGTCCTCACGAAGCACGAACGCTTGAACTCACTACGTCAGCCACCTCTTCTACCGTGCCCAACCTTCCAATCGGGATGTTCCTTTGCAACGCATCCTTCATCTCGGGCTTCTCGTCAGTGTTGATCATACCAGTTCCTGTGCGTATGGATGGCACAGAGTGGGGACAGCAGATGGAGGTGAGCCATGCAGATTCTTCGCAATGGCCGTCCGCAGCGGCGCTCACCGTCGATGAGAGCAGGAGCAACAGCATTGACAGTGACTCCATCTTTGGCATGCCGATTTGCCGCCCAACGCATCATTCCATGCAGCGCCGATTTCGAAGAAGAGTAATGTGGACCTATCACACCGCCCGTAAGAGCTGCTACGGAGCTGCAATAGATGATCCTTCCGTACCCTCTAGAAGCCATCTCCTTGATGCAGCACTTTGTCAGCACAAAAGGACTCAGCGTGTTGGCCTTGTGAAAGATTAATTTTTTTTGCTTGGTGTTAGCACCAGTACACTGCTTTGATGCTCGCTCTTGCAGCGCCCTCACGGCGAGCTCTTCTACTCTCCTGATCCACCAGTGCGAATGCTTTTTTCAGGGGCCTCCCACTCACTTGCCAAGTACTCTTGAAATCCTCCACCGAAACATCATCTATATCTCCCAAAGGACCCAAATGTTTACCTCCATTGATGCCATGATTGATAAATACGCAATCCACCCTCCCAAACCTCTTCTTGACTCGTTCGTAAAGCTCGACCGTCTGCTTCTCGTCGCAAAGATCAGCTTGAAAAGCTTCTACCTGCATGTGGGCCTGCTGCTTCTGCTGAGCAGCATTTTGGGGCATTTGAGATTGGATGGCAGAGATGGTGGAGCGGATGCCTTGCTCGTTTCGGTTGTAGCCTAGTGCTAATGCTCGAGGAGGAAAACGCTGAGCTAAAAGCTTTGCGGTGGAAGCGCCAATACCCGACGAAGCGCCTGCGCCAACGCAAGGCAAAAGCGCACAAAGTGAGGCAGGGGTGCCGCGTTTCCTGCAAGGTTTAGCCTCTCTCTCTCTCCACGTGACTGTAGATACAGCGCAAAGGCTTGCGCTCTATGCTCACCTGTGATCAAAACTACCCGATCAGACAAGTCCTGATCTTGATCCCTCCTGCTGGTCATGCTTACCAATACGTGCGTGCTTGCAGGGATGGTCACACACAAAGTGACTATCGCTTGCCGCTTTGCTCTTGATCGCTGTCCAACGCTTTGCTCCTGATTGGAGAGTTTAGATGGAGGATGTGTCAAAGGATCTGGAACCGGAGATGAAGAGTGGATCAACCGAGCGCTTGCTTCTCCAGGCTCAATCCGAGTCGTCATTGTGATTGTGCCACACCCCAACCCGCACCCGGGAAAAGCACTTGACACACAGCGTGACTGCAGCAGTTGAGAGGCGCTTTGCCCGCCCGACACGACCTCCACATGCTGCG